AAGATTCATCGCCTGAACTCAGAACAAGCCAACCAACCTGTCCAAATTGACGCCGTCGAACTGACACAGGAGTACATAAATATGCTCCTTGTGCAGACTGCAGTGTATGCCATCAACCGGTTCTGTCCTCAGAAGTGGTCCATACGCAATAGAGGAGGTGACGGGCATTGTGGGTTTCGCGAAGAGGACGGTCTGGGGATAGGTTCAGAGCCTCCTCTGGTTGACATGCCCCCCCTAGTCACTGAGACTCCCCCTCTTCCTGAGCCAGCGTTCAAAGAAATAAAGGGACTCATTGGAAAGTTTCATCTTGCTCTCGCAGAGAACTTGGGACTTTATTCTCCTTCCTATGCTCACAGAGATACCGTGCCTAGGCTTGAAGAAATACTTGGCAAGTCTGAAGAGAGACCATATGATCGTTTTCCCTTGTGGATATCGTTCAAGGTCATACCAAACTTCACTCTCCCTTGCACGATAAGAGTGGTTCAGAGAAATATGCAGGTGATGAAGGAAGAGTGTAAAGTATTGGCGCAATTTTTCGTCCTGGGCAGGGTTATCGTTGAGCACCTCTGCGATGCTTGTGAGACTCATGACGATGTCAATCTCGTGGTCGCCATCCCAGAGGTTTTGGACCTCGCTCTCCGATGAACCAGGGAACATCCTTCCAAGCATACATGAAAGGCCCGCAGCACAAATAACCAGGTGAGGCATCTTCATACTGAGACCCCGCTCCCTCAGCCTTGTAATATAGCTGTGACTACCATCCCTCAGAAGTGCAAAGGATGGCACAAGAGGTGGCGGCACGTCTTGTATGGGGCGTTGCTCCAGATTTGGCGGCCGGAGAAAATCGCGGTTTTGATTCAAGTATATCAAAGAGAGCTTGAGTATGGATCGTGAGAACCTCTCTATTCGGAGATATTCATCGGAATCATCGGGTGATTTCTCGACAAAGCTGGCTACTTCGTTTCGCCATATTTTTGGGAATGAAGAGTCATATGTCATATCCAATGCTAGAAACATTGACGTGTTTTCATCATTCTCTTCCATTCCAGAGATAGACTGCAGTGCCACACTCATAGCGGTGGGGCTGGACGAGTTTTGGGTCAACCACGTGAATGAAGATGTATCGAGCGTATCGTTTATTTTCTCGATAACCCTGCTTTCCATTTGCTTTAGCGTCACCGTGGAGAGAGAGGTAGGAGGTATAAACGGTTTCGAGGCGTGGCGAAAAGTAAAGGAAAACAGCCAATACGCATATTCGGATACAGGGGTTCGGAATGGACAGTTCAAAAGTTTCATGGGAAGAATGTTAGACGCAGCATATAGTCCATATGAGACGCTCGCGAGAGAACAGACGAGCCAAGGAATGATGCTATCGAGGGATGCAAGGAAGATGACGAGCCCGATAAAGAATATGCAGAGTGACGTGTGCATCATCACCGGCAGCCATCCTATAATCCCTCGTACGTGCCATGTCTCTAGGCCATTATAACGAAACTGTCTCGTGTGTACGCGTCCCCGTACATCGCCAGTAAGAGTCGATATATAGTTTTGTATCCATTGTTTGACAAGTACTGAGAAGAGAGCAGTCGACAGGCTGAGAGAGAGGCTGGTAAACCAAAGACCATTAACCCAGCGATCACTTTTCTCTGCCTTAAAAGGTGTCGTCGAGAAATTCAGCTCAGAGCGATTAACAGATCCTGGCGACGATCCTTCCATTTGTGCACGTTGTAGTCCGACTAGTTCCGTTAATAGCGAAGTAGATATCTTTGAGTAATTATAGTCGAGAGATTGAGAGGTTTGTGCGACGAATGTAGTGACGACAGCTGAGAAAAGACCAGCCTTGAGATGATGTCAATCCGAAGTAAATCGGTAATAGACGTAATACGCACGAAGACCAGGAGCACGTCGATTGTATCCTTCCAGCCTTCTGTCATTTCCATATCGAATACTTCCGCTTCATCGAGATAAACGCGCCAAAATCTTGCATTGGGCCCGGCTTCTTCGCCAAATTCATCGGCGGGGTATTTTGCCTCATAGTCATCTGGATTGGGCGCTAAGAGGGAAAGGGTTAATGACATTCTTAAGGAGAAAATAGGTGTAAAACATACCCCTTACAGCCTGCTCTCGGTGGGGAATAAGAAGAGGCCTTCTATTTCCCCGCTTTCTTCCTTGGCGGCGTGTATTTGTTCGGCGCTTTGGTAATAAGGTCGCTGCCTCCTGCTGTTCCTCGTCCACAGACTCCGTATCGTAGCCTTTACCCACATTTGCTTCTATATCAAGTGAGAAATATCGTGGTTGAAGCTTGGGAGGCATGTTGTGACACGAGGGACGACTTTGGGGTGTACCAATAGAAGTCGAACAAAATCCACCGCGATGGTTCTAGCCAGGTTGCAAACCCTATTTGGATGGCTATTTTTCGGTCATGTGGAAGAGGGATGTCATATTAAATTACCGGATCGGGAGGTTGGTACCGCATGCAGCTCGAACCAGGTTCCCAAACCAGCATTATGAACCACGCTTATCAAAGGTAAAGCCCAGGTCAATGGCTCCGTGAGCGAAGGTTGAAGGCAGTTAAACTACCAGCGCAAAATGTATCGATGGGCCCTATCATGCCATTGGCTGGTCGGCTAGTTTGGACAGGCGGTTCTAGAGACCGGTTATGTGCCAGCTCTGGTCAAGAACGATCCTCCTAAATGGTGTAAAAAGGGTTCTAGAATGGTTTTATGGAACTGGTGAAAGCATGTTGCCCTGAACGGGATAGGAAAGAAGTCCCTGTTCCGATTGTAATAAGCTCTCTGCCAACCCCCCCGTTGATCCTGAACTGTAACGCTGTTGCACCTTGGCCTTGTGATCAGGATCGTTTCCAAATTTACAGATTTTTTTTGCCAATGGTACCAAAGACGACGCGACCAGTCGGGCACCTGACCGAGGACGGGGCTCTAGATCCGAATGGGAAACTCTCCCTACGAAGGAGCTACGGTTTTTTCGAGGAAGCGAAATCACTTCAAGAGCGTTTATGTGAATTCAGCAGAAGGGGCCTTTGTGTAAGCATTCATCAGTTTCCTTGACGAACGATTCCCTTGGCCGCACCGATACTTGAAACCACAAGACCGCATATCATGCCTTTCCCCGACCTCTTTCTTGGGTTGAAGAGGATGATGGCATGATTTCCATCCCAGAGTTACGATAAACGTCGAGTTGTACACTACGGAGTGAAGATGACGCGTATTTTCCAAATTGAATCGACAGGAACTCCGTGATCTTGGAAGGTGAATAAGCGAGCGCTATTTTGCATGTTTAGATAGCCTAGGGGATTTGCAGTGGAGAGACAGGACGATTACTGGCAGCTTGCACGGCGAGAACCTTCACGCAATGATCAATGACTAAAGAAACTCACGATATCGGTCTGAATGCTTGGGTTGGTAACTTTAGGTTGTGGTCGACGCGCGTTGAGCAAATAAAACTGAATTTCGACCCGGTTATCCTGCTTCCATCAACTTTCCGCGCGTCTACAGCGTAGTTGCGAACCAGCACATACAGGATCATAACGAAAACAAACGCCAGAATGGTGATTCTACAACGAGATGTGCAATTTTTCGAATCTTTTCCCTCCTTAGTTGGGAGTTCGGCATACAGGAGGTGACGCAAGCGGTTCCCCATAACCTGTTTAGGAAGTAATACTCCCAGTCGGGTGTAAATGGGTTGCGTAAGCTGCCCTATCCCAACACGAAGCCGCCCACCTAAAATTTGCTCAAAGTGGGGGACACCAGAGTGATCAAGCGTGACCCAAATAAAGTGCTTGACGCCAGCTTTCTTGGCGGCATTGACGAGATTTTGGCCTTGTTTCTCCTCATCCATGAAGCTAGACCAGACTGTTGCAGCATTGGTCAGTAAATGTGACTTTCTCGTTTTGAATCGACTAGGACGTACAGTCGGTAGCTCCGAGTACACCATAAGCGCCTTCAACACTTTTATCGTACTTTAGCATGGGTCTTGGAAGACGGAACAGGAAACCACGTACGCGCGTTCAATGGAGGCAGGGTCGCTCAAGTCTCCTTGGACCACCTCAACACCTCGAGCAGCGAGAGCTTTAAACGACAGTTAGGCGATAGATAGGCGGTGTTGTACTGGACCTTACCTTTGGCCGCGTCACTGTTGGGGTTTCTGGTGACGGCACGGGCGGCATAAGTACCATCAGCGAGAATCGCATCAATCGTGCCACCTAGAGGACGTCGTCAGTACTGATCATTATGGTGACTACTAGAACTCTCTCACCTCCAGTCTTGCCAGTGGCGAGGAAAACAGTGATGACTGGTTTAGTAGACATTGTTCGTGGGCAAAAGTGAAGAAAAGTTCTGGGTGTTGGAGTAGTTTGATGTCCTCTCCATCCGCTATTTATACCAAGAGATCTAATGGTAGCCTCGTCTTCACAAATGGTGAGTGTTTGTTTATCTCGTCATCATGATGACACTTTGAGCAAATTTTAGGTGGGCGGC